TCACTCGCACCTACAAACAACACGGCGGAATATAGAATGCACACTTCTCAGCAAGCTGCGTAGCTGCAAGGTACATACAGCAGCCCGTAACACCAGATCACATCAGACCATATCAGCAGCAAAAAGGTGAACAACACTAGTGAAGCATAGTACATAAATCACACTACCATGTCAGTCCTAACGATGCAGGCACGGCTCAGGAGGAGCCGGGTCTAGTTTTGAGGCGCCTCAAAACCAGCACGGCTCAGAAGGACCTGGAAAAAACGTGAATCGCTCGCACAACCCTTGTCCGCCACAACCCACTGCTCTACACCCTTCCGCGAGCCTAACCCTGAGGCCCGGCACCAGGCCTGGGAGGGCCGTATTGCCCCGGACCTGCTGGCCCGGGCCCAGGGTACTGTTGAGGAGGGTAGGGCTGCTGCGGAGGAGGTCCGGGGTACTGCTGCTGTGCACCTGACAGGACACCTGGGTACTGTTGCGAACCACCTGAAGGACCACCTGGGTACTGTTGTTGAGCACCTGGGAACTGCTGAGGACCACCTGGGTATTGTTGCGGAGCACCTGACGGACCACATGGGTATGGGGGTGGAGGGCCCTGCTGTGGCGCATACTGGGAGGGGGGCGGCATGTATGGGGGCTGTTGATACTGCTGCGGCTGCTGCTGATAGTGCTGTTGCTGCTGCTGCTGCTGCTGCTGGGGGTAACCCATGGGAGGGGGGTAGGAACCGGGGTATGGTCCCTGCTGGTGCTGGTAGGCCCCTGGGTGAAGGGGAGGGGCGCCTGGAGCAGGCATGCCTGGGGGAGGTTGGTAAGGCTGGGGAGGGGAGGTGGCGGGATAGGGGGCATGGCCAGGAGGGGGGTAAGCATGCGGTGGGTATTGGTATGCGGGAGCAGCAGATGCAGCAGCAGCATCGCCGCTGCCAGCACCACTGCTACCACCACCACCGCCCCCCCCTCCCCCTCCTCCTCCTCTTCCCCCTCCCCCCTCCTCCCCTTCCCTGTTCCGTGTGCGCGCCCCCATCCTCTCAGGATTCATAGATGGGTACATCGATGCAGACGTCGCCGGACCTACCGCCAAACCTACCCCACTCCGAGGCAAGATCCCGAAGCCAGCCCCAGCCACGCCCTCTCCTGTACCACTTCCCCCAGCACCATCAGCGCCCCCTGCACCACCCTCCACACCACCTTCCCCCTCTCCTCCTCCTCCTCCTCCGCCTCCTCCTCCCCCTTCCCCGCCACCCGCTCCCCCCTCTCCCCCTTCTAGCAGCTTCCTTCCTCCCGCCTCTTCTCCCCCTTCTATTCCCTCTTGCTTCGGCCGGCCCCAGTCGAGCCTCAGCCGGATCCCCTTCACGATGAGCTTGTTAGCTAGGCCCTCCGTCGCCTTCTCTGCATCCTCCCTCGTTGTGTATGTGATAAAAGCGCAGCTGCGGGGGGTGATGAGACGAATCGACTCGATCTCGCCATAGGCGTAAAACTTGTCCCTGAAACAGAAGGAGAAGGCAGGAGGGTGGGGGGGGGGGGGGGGGGGGGGAGGAGGGGGAGGAGTGAGTGGTATAGGGGAGATGAGTTTGATGAAGTTCAGAGGGAATGCAGGGGGTAAAAGAGGGAGTGAAAGTCGAAGGGGTTAGGAAAAGGGCGGATTGACTCAATCTCCCAGTATTCATTCAGACAATTCAAAAGGGGGGGTTGAGGTAAGACGGGGGCAGTTCGGGGCTACCAGGCATTTGGCTGGCACCCAACGAGAGGGCAACCAGCATCGTGATATAAGGTTGGTTTTGAGACGTCTCAAAACCTACCAGGCATTTGGCTGGCACCCAACGAGAGGGCAACCAGCATCGGACTCAGCACGCCCACTTGAAGCCCTTCTCAGCAGTTCTCTGTGATCCTTAAGTCTCCCCCCCCCCCCCCACCTCACCCATAACGAATGCCTTGGTGCTCGTGTTCGTGGGAGGTTACAGAGAGAGCATGGTGTAATGGGTGAACATGATACAGCAGAGAGAGCATGGTGTAATGGGTGAACATGATACATCAGAGAGCACAGGACGGTAAGGAGCTCACTTGAGGTCTTTCGCTCTGATCCGTGAGTCCACTCCGCCCACCCACAGTGTCTTGCTTCTCGGGCTCTCCCGTGGTGATGGAGTGAGCATGATACAACAGGCACGCGCCAGAGAAGCTTTAACAAGCACACTCACTTGAGGTCTTCCTCGGTAATCCGCGAGTCCACACCCCCCACCCACAGCGTCTTGATGCTCGTGTCCTCGGGTGCTTCCAGCGACGGCATCTCCGCCGCCAGCCGCATCATCTTCTTCGCCACGGGGTCGTTCACACTGCAGGTGGCATGAGGAAAGGCCGGGGGGGCTAGTTTTGAGGCGCCTCAAAACTAGACTCCTATCATGGCTGACAACACTGCAGGTGGCATGACGGACAGGCCGGGGGGGAGACGCCACGAGGGCAAGAAAGGGACAGCTTAAGAACGCGAGCATCTCTGCCGCCAGGGGCATCATCTTCCTGGCCACGCATCATCTCCCAGACCGAGCTACCACCCCCAAGACCGAGCTACAACCCCCACGGCCGAGCTACACTACACTACAGGGAGGAGGCCAATTTCGTCACGCACCCGTAGTAGCGGTCCTTGAAGTTCTGGTGCGCCAGCTCCCCAGTAATGGGCATCTCGTGGCGGTAGGGGCACTCCGCCCCGCGCGTGCACTCCCCGCGGACGAAGAAGGAGCAGATGTGCGCGCGGTTGCGCTTGTAGTACGGCGTCGTGCGCTGCAGCTTCAGTAGGAGGTCGTTCGGCTGCGCCTTGCCGAACGACGACTCGTAGTCCAGCCCCGCTCGACCCTGGTTGGGACGGAAGGGGAGAAGAAGGAAGGGGAGGGAGTGGGAGGGTTGGATGCGTCAGCAGTTTCGCTTGTAGTAAGGCGTCGCAGGCTGCAGCTCCAACAGCAGGTCGTTGGGCTGCGCCTTGCCGAACGACGACTCATAGTCCAACCCTGCTCGTCCCCGGTTCGAAAGGAAGGGGAAGGATGAGGCGGGGCGGCTGGGGAAGGAGGCACGGGAATACAGAGCAACGGAAAAAGCAACTTCCTGAGGCGCCTCAGCGGAAAAGGCAACTTCCTGAGGCGCCTCAGCGGAAAAAGCAACTTCCTGAGGCGCCTCAGCGGAAAAGGCAACTTCCTGAGGCGCCTCAGCGGAAAAGGCAACTTCCTGAGGCGCCTCAGCGGAAAAGGCAACTTCCTGAGGCGCCTCAGCGGTTGCGCTTGCAGTAGAGCGTCATGGGCCGCAGCTTCAGCAGCAGGTCGTTCGATTCCTGGCCTGCGCCTGGCCAAACGACGATTCATAGCTTTCCCAGCGAGTACTTCGGCTCTGTGCTACGTGCGCTGCAGCTTCCACGGGAGGCGCTGTGCGACCACAAACGACAAACAACCACAACGAGCAGCGGAGTACCTTGCGGTCGTGCTCCTCCGCGAAGTACTCGCGGTTGACGTCGCTCTGAGGGATGGCGTCCGTGGTGCTGATGTTGAGCGCCGAGTCCCGCACCTGCACCGGCAGCCCGTACTCCAGATCCAACATGCACACCTGGGGAGGTGGGGGGTGGAGGGGGGTGGGGGGTGGGGGGGGGGGGGGGAGGTAGATTTATTAAGCGCAATGCAAGTACTTGTAGCACCTGCACCGGCAGCCCGTACTCCAGATCCAACATGTACACCTGGGGCGGGGGGAGGGGGGGGGAGATGGGTGTGGGGGAGGGTGTGGGGGGGAGAGGGTTCGGAAATGGGGGAAGAGCGGGGGGAGAGGGGGGGAGGGGGAAGGGGGTAGGGCGGGGGGTTGTCTCACACTGCACAGGCAGCCCGTACTCGAGATCCCACACGCACACCTGAGGGGCAAGAGGAGGTGTGACCGTGTGGGAATGGTTTTGAGGCGCCTCAAAACGAGGGGCAAGAGGAGGTGTGACCGTGTGGGAATGGAGAACGGAAGGGTCACCCGGGGCTAATCGCTGGAGAATCTACGCTAGGAAATGAATAGGGGTACCGATACGGGAGGAGTCTATTTTTGAGGCGCCTCAAAAATAGAATCTACGCTAGGAAAAGAATAGGAGAACCGATACGGGCTTAACAGTAGGCGCAGGCGAATTTGCGCGAGGCTGCGCGCGGGAGCGACACCGAACCTAACCTAGGCAAAGTCGGATTCACCTATGGCTGATCTCGTATCCCTGCTAACCGAACCTGTACGATGCGCACGGAGCCGAAACCTATCCTAACCTAACCTAAACCGGACGAGACAGTATAAGAATTAACGAGATCGGGAATTGGCTAAAGCAAGGAACTGACCTGGCACACGTTCTTGAGCTTGCAGCACGTCTGGCAGATCTCGGTTTTCTTGTAGCGCGCGTCGCGGCCGGGCCGCCATCGGAAGACGGTGAAGGGCCGCGTGCAGATCTTGCACTCCTTGTCGAAACTCGCCTTGGTCTGGCGGGAGACGATAAGGGGAAAGCGCGAGGGACGGGGGAAAGAATCGGCACTTGAGTCGACTCTTAGGCACAGCGAGCGTCGCGGCCGCGTGCAGATCTTGCACTCCCTGTCGAAACTCGCCTTGGCGTGGCGGGGAAGAATTGAGG